CCTCATTGTCAATATTTCTGAGACTGTCAAAAAGATATAATTACACATGTGCACAAAAAGGAGTGTGCAGTAAAACACTGTAAAATAATGAGGAAAAGCTGGAAAGAACTTAAATATCCTACAATAGGGAAACAGTTTAAAAAGTTATAGTATATCCAAACAGCATACTCAAAAAATTATGACACAGTTTGTCATTTGATGACATGAAAAGCTGTTCACTATATTAGGTTAGATGAAGAAGATAGATGACAAAACAGTATTACAGTATAATTCTGTTTTGAATTTCAAAATCCTATATGGCTATATCCATGTGTTAATTCACAGAGGAATAGGTGAGATGATTTGGAACAAATAAGCTGTTTCTAGATGAGCTTTACTTTAAGCTTTTCTGTATTCTTCAAATTTCTGAATTAAGAATCTAATTTTATAATCAGAAAAAAATAATAGAGCTAATCCCTCCCTCTTTGAGAACAAAAGAAATGATAGGAGATATGAATATAATACATGGAGTGTATTGTTGTAGTTGTTTGAATTCTGTCTTAAGAGGCCTGAACTTTCTTCATAGACATGAAGCCTTTCAAATTAGTGACTCAAATACTACCTTAAAGGTCCTAAATCTTGACTCCCAAGATTTTATACACAATGAATTCCTCTTACTGGTTGCCCCTCAACTAGGCTCAGATTTGCTGGCCGACCTCTCCACTAGCCTTAGAAACTAACAAGGAAACCACATTTGCCTTGGAAATAAATTAATTAATTAATAATAAAACCTGCACATAGGAGAAGAAATGGGATTTAGGCCTGATGTGGTTAATTCAGACCATTCCGTTTGTCATCAGGCAGAAAGGAAGTTGAAAAAGTAACCTGAAGTATTAGGAGGATGACACTTTTGAAACAACACAGCAGAGATGCCCATTTCCATCTCCAGGAATCATACCAATCCTTCAAATAGCTAAGCACCCTAGAGAGTCACATTCCCCAATGAGTCATACTGATGAAAGTTAAGATGACTCCAGAATGCAGATTCTGAATTGGAAAATGGAAAAGAGATATTGTAATCAGGGAGACCCTGTTTATTAGTTAAATAAATGTACATTGGTCCTATATCACACCTATATTGAACAAATTCTTCTGAGTGGGGTGAGTCATCTATACACACTCAGCAGAAGTCAATGCCACATTCTTGAGTCTACATACCCCTGAAATGACAGGAACCCATGTTCCCCTTAAGGTCCTGGAAGGGAATGTAAAGTTGGTGAAGATGTGGGAGTTGGACAGGAAGAAGAAGGAGTTGCTCGGGAAAGTTATTGGTTAAATAAATTATAAAATAACCATGTAATAGAACACTTAGATACACAAATGCAAAGTTGTAGAAAATTTAGGATATGGAATATTTTCAAGGTATAACATCAGTAGAGAAATCACTTAACAAAGCAGGTTGACCAATACAATTGTATCAGTATAGGGTGATAGAAAATGTCTAGAAGTTTAAACAGCAGTTTCAGTTATCTATTGCTATGTAACCACCCCCAAAAGTTTGTGGCTTAAAACAAAACCATTAATTAGCTCATCATTCCGGGGGTTGGCAATTCGGGCTTGGCTTGGCTGAGTGGTGCTTCTGCTGATCTCACTCATGTGACAGCAGCCAGCTGGTGGCTTGGTGGGGGCTGGATGGACCAAATGGTCTCAATGAAACATCTGGCAGTTGTTGTTAGCTTGGCCTCTGTCTCCAAGTGATCTTTTGTCTTCAAGCAAGCTAGTCTTAGCCTTTAGTACCTGGTGGTCTCAAGGCAGGAAGAGGGAAAGAGCAAAAGCTGCAAGACCTCCTAAGGCTTTATCTTGAAAGTCTCACTACCACCACATTTTATTAGTCAAAGTACATCACAAGGCCCTGCCTAATTGTAACCTAACCATTTCAGGAGAAGGAGAGCAAATACTTCCCTTTTCTGAAAAACTAAAACAAAGAGAATAACAACAACAAAATCCCTGACCTTGAGCTTGGTTTTCAGATATGCTCTGTAACGTTTTCCTTTCCCCAGGGCTTTTCTTTCAGAGAGCTGCACTGCAGGGGAAGAGTGAACAGAAGGGGAGTAAGGACTCATGAGACACCAGACCTTTCTTAGAGCATGAACTGGCTAAACTGGAAGAAATTCTTCAACACCACCCAAGCTCAGTCATCTACCACACACATACTCAGATGGAAGTAAAGGGGAGATGGGAGTACTACTAACCTTTCTTAGTATCAAAGGGAAAGGCCAGGGTCACTGATAACCAGAGCTGAAACTTTCTCTAAGTTCACAGCAAGTTTCCTGGGGAGACAGCTTTGGAAATGATGTGGTTCTGAAACATGGAACTTGACCTCAGCTCCCAAAAGAGATCCTCTGAGGAAGGAATCCTACTCCTAGGCTCTCTACAGGTCTTCCTAGGACTCTGCCTAAGGGACACTCCCAGCCCCAAAACTCATTCCAAAAACAGGTTTGTGCTTTCTTGCTTGTATATAACCTTTATCCCACCACTCAAATATCTGACTCCCCTTTTTGTGACTGTTTCTCTGCAGCTGGTGTCCTGGCTATAAAGTGGGAGAAAAGAGAAAGCAGTGATAAAAGGATACAGATACTACGAAACAATAGAACCTAAAATTGGCCCCTAGGCAGGCAACACTCACTCCACTGATATCCACTTTTGCGTTAAGCACTGGAGTCTGGGCACTGGAGGTGGAAGTGCTGACAAAAGCAGCTCAGGCCGTGCTTCAGTGCAACTCTGGTTAATACAGGCATCGTCGTCTTGACAGGCACAGATACACTCTCAGGGAGATCTTCAACAGATCGCCTCAGTCCCGACGTTAAACCGGAACTGCAGAAATGAAGCTCTACCCCGTGACACAACCAAACTCCCACCCGGTCACAAAATTAAAAGCCTCTGCCACCATACTAGGTAACAACAGCATCGTCTTCTGAAGGGCAGTCTCAAGCCCCACAGTGTCACCTACCTCAACATCACAGCCGATCACGGTCACCCAAAGGGTCCCGCATCTTGCACCAGACACGGCCTCATCACCGCACACACACCCCGCCTCGTTACTGCCACAAACGCTCACACACTCTTATACACGCCTACACAGGCCTGAGCTCCAGGCTCCACACGCCCTGTGTGCGCCAGAGGGTGGGGGCTTCCTCACCGTGAGTGCCTGCCGTGCCCAGACTCAGGTTACCACTCGGAGCGCGACGACTGAGAGGACCTCAGAAGGGAATCAGAGATGAACCAAATATCAAAGTTCTTTTCAAAAGCAGCCCAGGGGCTGTGGGAAATGTAGTTCAAGGCCGCAAAAACCCGGATGTCGAGAAGGCGCGCCTGAGACGCAGCGGCGAAGAAGGAGCCGCGGAGCCTCTTGGGAGGTGGAGCCCGCGCTGGAGTGCGCAAGCGCAGATGGCTGGCCAGTAGGCGAAGGTGAGCCTGGTGGGTCCTGCTGGCGCTGGGCAGGCTGGTGATTGTGGTACCCGGTGGGGATTGCCGAGCAGGGAGGTGGGAACCAGGACTGGGAAAAGCGAGGAAAGAAGACAGAACCTGGGCTGAGAGAAGGCCGGGGAGGAAAGCGAGGGGGGAAACAAGAACCTAGGCAGGGGAAGGAACTGGGAGCCAGGGCTGGGAACGCCGAGGCGGGTGTGAGCTCGGCCTGGCACACACAGGCGTTCTGTTTGTGTAGCTTTTTGTGCCTGGTCTTGTGTGTGTGTGTGTGTGTGTGTGTGGAACGTGTGTTACTCTGTGTAACGTTATGGAACCTATTGTTTATGAAAGTGAGAGGGTCTCTGCGTGTGTCTAATTTTTAAATTAGGTGCGAGTAGATTTGTGTTTGAGACTGTATGCGACTTTGGAGAGGCAACAGTAAGGGGTTTGTGAGTAAAATTTTGCAGCTTTGTGTAGAATTATGTAATGGGCTCTGAGAGATTATGCATGAATTGTGTCTATGGGATTGGGATTGTGTAGTGGATGATATAACTGTGAATATGTCAAATTTTGAAGTATTTGGGCACACAAGTAATTGCACAATTCACGGTGACTAGGAATGTGTCAGGCTCGTTGTGTGACTGAGATGGAGCATTTGAGATTGAGCATTTGAGAAAGTAGATGCAAGACTAGTTAAGTACTATGTATTGTTTATATTGTCTGAATAGTGTCCATTTTATATGCCTGTAGAATTTGACTCTGGCAATTAGACAAGTAGAAAAAAATAGAGATTTTAAAAACGGAGAGGAGGAGGTAAAATTAAAATAATTTTCAGATGGAACAATTGTATATTGTGAAACCCCATATTGACTAATAACCAGTATGTTGACATAAGTAGAACATCATTAGGAGAACACAAAAAACTTTCTCCCATAACTTCTACTCTCAGAATTTCTATTTGGGTGAATTCCTGGACAGTAAAGTTTCAATAATTTCTTCAGTCATTATGAAGATAAAAAATTTGTTGAACATTTAAACACAAGATCAGTCTCATTTAGCTGAATAAAGTATTCACTGTAGAAATCAATACTTCTAAATTTTTTTTAATTTTATTTTATTTATTTTTAAAAATAAATTTATTTATTTATTTTTGGCTGCATTGGGTCTTCGTCGCTGTGTGTGGGCTTTCTCTAGTTGCGGCGAGCGGGGGCTACTCTTCGTTGCGGTGCGCGGGCTTCTCATTGTGGTGGCTTCTCTGTGGCAGAGCACGGGCTCTAGGCACACGGGCATCAGTAGCTGTGGCACGCCGGCTCAGTCGTGGCACTAGAGCTTAGTAGCTCTGCGGCATGTGGGATCTTCCTGGACCAGGGCTCAAACCTATGTCCCCTGCATTGGCAGGTGGATTCTTAACCACTGTGCCACCACGGAAGTCCCACTAACTTGTTTTGTTTTGTTTTTTTTTTTACATCTTTATTGGAGTATAGTTGCTTTACAATGGTGTGTTAGTTTCTGCTTTATAACAAAGTGAATCAGTTATACATATACATATGTTCCTATATCTCTTCCCTCTTGCGTCTCCCTCCCTCCCACACTAACTTGTTTTAAAAGCAAAAACTCTCCCTCCTGTTGGAAGTCTGCTGCGCTAAAAAAAACATGATCAGTTTCTTCTCTAATTCCTCAACCTCTATTTTGTCCCCTCTTTACTCCCTCTAGATTGATAGTCTGCAGCTGGAATGGATTGGGAGCTGGAAAAGAAAAGTCAGGGACAAGAAGAGGCTAACATGACTGGTACCGTTATAATTTAGTGTAAGTCATATTTACCTTCTGAGAGACCCCACTACTGGGAACTTCCAAATACAGTTCCCTTTTCATGGGCATGGCCACTTCTCTAGATGCCTCCTCTTGGCATGCAGTGGCCCACCTACTCTGGTAGGTCTTGTTCTCTCCCATCAGTCCTCTTGGACAGGATCCAAACCAACCTAGGCATGCTTCATCCGTGGGTTCCATCTGGAGCTCAGGTGATAGCTAGCCACTTTAGTCACCACCACCCTGCTCCCCCCCACCACTGCCCAAATCCTGGAAACATGTACGTTTCCCCCCCAAATTCTCTCACCACTTTGATTTATAGTGGCATCAGTGTCTGAGGAGCCCCTTGTTTATTATAAGGGAGTGAGAAGCACCTACTTTTCTTACCCCTAGAAAACTATGTTCTAAAAATAATTTGCTCTCTTAAAGAGACATTCCCTTTTCTCAGCCTCTCGAAGTAGGAGGTAAATTAATGGTAGCAAAACGTTACAGTCAGCTACTTTACAAGACTTTATCTTAGAATGAGGGACAATTGAAAGATTGTTTTGCCTATCATCTTTGGGACATCTGAGTCTGAAGCAGAAAAATTTCTAAGTTACCGTCCTGTTCGAAACAATGACAACAGTTAGAAAACTCAGAGGTTTGCTAGAAAAGACATTAACAAATCAACAGGTTTCATATATGTGTCTGTGCGTATGTGTATATATGCATCAAAAAACTATGGAAAGTTGCCAGTGGCCATCAAAATACAAGATACAAAAGACAGCATGATGTATAAAAAAATTTTTGATGGGACTCAAAAATTAAAGACTTAAATAAAAGGACCAGGGACACATGATAAATTGTCAAAACTCCCTAACATTTCATGGAGTTTCATTAAAATTTCAGTAAAATTTTTAAACTTTCTGAAGTTCTTAGGAGAAAATGAACAAGACAAAAATTGTTAAAGAAAAATAATGAAGGGGGAAGTAAGCCTACCTGATACTAAAACATGTTTGTTTGTTTGCGGTACGCGGACCTCTCACTGTTTTGGCCTGTCCTGTTGCGGAGGACAGGCTCCAGACGTGTAGGCTCAGCGGCCATGGTTCACAGGCCCAGCCACTCCACGGCATGTGGGATCTTCCCAGACCAGGGCATGAACCCGTGTCCCCTGCATTGGCAGGTGGATTCTCAACCACTGCGCCACCAGGGAAGCCCCTAAAATATGTTTTAAAACTGTAATAACTGCAGAGTAATCCTGGCAATTAAATGAACAGATCAGTGGAACTAAATACAAAGTCCAGATACACTCAAATATATAAAGGAAATAAAGTGTATGATAAAGAAAAACTATAAAAAATATTTTAAGTAATTATAGAATTAATTTCCTTCCTTTAAAAAAGATCTAATATCAATCCAGAAAATAAAATTAAGTTAATAGAAAAGTGAAAAAATTGAGACCTTTCACAGACAAGAAACTAAAGATGGATGGCGGTGGTGGCTGCCGTGGGGAATTTGCTGCCTGGCATGGCCTGGCTTTTATTTAAAAAACAAACAGAAATTAAGGTGCTTTTTAAACATTGTGAATAGAAGCTTATCTTCTCTCATAATAAGAAAAATAAGAACTAGAATCACAGTGTATACCTTGGTAAGCATCAGGAAGTTTGTATCCGTGGTACTCATGAGGGTATGGGGTGACAAGAATTTTCACGTATTGCTGGTCATGATATAAATGGTAGAGCCTTAATGGAGAACAGCTTGGAAGTAGTTAATAATAATAGGCAGGTTAGGAGAGAAAAGATAGTTCTAGAGAGGTGGGGCCTTGCCCAAAATCTAACCCATTACCCCAGGAGCCTGTATCTCTGGCTTTGGGGATAAAATTTTTGTCTAGCTTATTCTCCCCCCATATTGGTGTGGAATATATAGAGTGAACAAGCACCAAAGCAAGGGAAATGGAGTCAATCTTGAGTCGTAAGTCATAAGAGAGCTTAAAAGCATGTGTAGTGGCATGTGGCTTCTTTTCATCTTGCTTTTGCCTTCTTAGGAACCGCCCCTTTTCTAAAGAGGAGCCCAAAGGAAGACTGGTCATCTCTTGCAGATCTCAAAACCATGGCTCAGGTGAGATGATGGTTCCTTTCTCCTTTCTGAAATAGTTTTTTGTTGTTGTTTTTAAGAATATTTGAGCATTTCCCTTTCTTGTACTAAAATCCTCCTGTTTATCTTCCCCTTCCTGAAAGCAGTCCCCACTTGTTCCCATATTGGTCAGATAAGCTTTTACCTTCCACGAGTGCTCCTTCTAATTTTAAGCAGTGTTCACACATTAAGTGGGTATAATCATTCAACATCTTTTCTCAGTGTTCTTCCAGAAGCAGTGCTAGAACAAAAATGCATTTCCTCAAATTAAATGAGAATATATTACTTCATGAACCTGTCTTGCAAAGATAAAAACAGGGGCTTCCCTGGTGGTGCAGTCGTTGGGGGTCCGCCTGCCGATGCAGGGGACGCGGGTTCGTGCCCTGGTGCGGGAGAATCCCACATGGCTCGGAATGGCTGGGACCGTGGGCCATGGCCACTGGGCCTGCGCGTCCGGAGCCTGTGCTCTGCAACGGGAGGGGTCGTGGCGGTGGGAGGCCCTCGTACCGCAAAAAACAAAAAAAAAGATAAAAACAGTCAAGATGGAGATGGAATTGATAGATTGCTATTAGTTAAGTGGCAAGAAGTCCTGTCTTGAGGCTTTGAGACTAGAGCTATGCTTTGGCAGATTATGCAAAAACCAAGAATCCTGTATTTCTCCTCTCGGATCCTTGAGTTCTGCTCATAGCTGCTAATAATTCCTAAAAATCTGTGGTATGTGTTATAGATTTATTCCTATTTTTCAGTTTCTTCTAATTTTATGTTCACATGCAAGGAAGTAAATGAATATACTTAGATCACCATACTGAACTAAAAGTGTAACTCATGAAATAGTCTGCTCTTGATTTCAAAGACATTATTCTGGTTCTTTCTTTCAGAAAATTCATCTTTATGCTTGGACCTCTTTTTTTTTTTTTAATTTTTATTGGAGTATAGTTGGTTTACAATGTTGTGTTAGTTTCAGGTGTACAGCAAAGTGAATCAGTTATACATATACATATATATGTCCACTCTTTTTTTTAGATTCTTTTCCCATATAGGCCATTACAGAGTACTGAGTAGAGTTCCCTGTTCTATACAGTAGGTTTTTTTTTTTTTTTTTTTTTTTTAGCGGTACGCGGGCCTCCCACTGTTGTGGCCTCTCCCGTTGCGGAGCACAGGCTCCGGACGCACAGGCTCAGCAACCATGGCTCACAGGCCCAGCCGCTCCGCGGCATGTGGGATCCTCCCGGACTGGGGCACGAACCCGTGTCCCCTGCATCGGCAGGCGGACTCTCAACCACTGCGCCACCAGGGAAGCCCCAGTAGGTTCTTATTAGTTATTTTATGTATAGTAGTGTGTATATGTCAGTCCTAATCTCCCAATTTATCCCTCCCTGCTTTATCCCCTGGTAACCATAAGTTTATTTTCTGTATCTGTGACTCTACTTCTGTTTTGTAAATAAGTTCATTTGTACCCTTTTTTTTAGGTTCCACATATAAGCGATATCATATGATACTTGTCTTTCTGTGTCTGACTTCTCTCAGTGTGACAATCTTTAGGTTCATCCATGTTGCTACAAATGGCATTATTTTGTTCTTTTTTATGGCTGAGTAATATTCCATTGTATATATTGGACCTCTTAAATACTGGTGTTCTCCAGATTCTGTATTGGTTCTTTTCACTGTATAGTCTCCTGTTCTTATTCACAATCTACCACTGTTATTCTAATGATGCTCAAATAATTTTAATGCTAAATCTCTGTTGTGGGTGTCAAAACTGTATCCAACCTCCAAATAGATACCACCTCCTGTGTCTTCCACAGATACTTCAGGCACATGCCCAAGGTTTACCTCATTATCTCCTACCATTTTAGTCTTTTATTTCTTCCCCTCAACCTGCTTATGGGCCCAGCCCCTACCCACCTGCTAACACAGCTAACTTGAGTTGTGTCTCTTTTCCATTGCACGACCATTTAGTGGTGAATCTTATTCCTTATATTTCAGTTCCCTTTATCTCCACTGATATCATCATGGGTGTCTCTCTCATACTGGTAACTTATCTTCCCGTTTAACACCTTTGCTCCTTTTCCCATCCTCCAAGTGTTCACCCCAGTGCTCCCTTATGGATGTTTGTGTTGCTTACACTTTTCTGTTTAACTCTGTGTGTGTGTGTGTGTGTGTGTGTGTGTTTTAAAATATACATGAAATAGGGCTTCCCTGGTGGCGCAGTGGTTGAGAATCCGCCTGCCAATGCAGGGGACACGGGTTCGTGCCCCAGTCCGGGAAGATCCCACATGCCACAGAGCAGCTGGGCCCGTGAGCCATGGCCACTGAGCCTGCGCGTCCGGAGCCTATGCTCCACAACAGGAGAGGCCACAGCAGTGAGAGGCCTGCATACTGAAAAAAAAAAAAAAATTGTGAGAGCTAAAATATACATGACATAAAATTTTATCATTTTAACCATCATTAAGTATATAATGCAGTTCCATTAAGTATATTCACTATGTTGTATAGCCATCACCAGTATCTATTTCCAGAACTTTTTCACATCCCAAACAGAAACTCTGTACCAATGACATTAAACAATTAACTCTTATCTTACAGTTTTCATAGAATTAGACCCGAAGCACATTTGAAGAATGTTTAAGACAATCTATTAGGGGAGAGGAAAATATTAAAATATGCATTAATAGTTTAATTCAAGAATAGTAATCAATAATGATAATATAGTTTTCTAATTCATGAATATGAGGCACATCTCCTTTTATTTAGATCTTTAAATTCTCTGAGTAATGTTTTTTTGTTATCAGTGTACCAATCTTGCAAATGTTTGTTATATTAATACCTAGGTTTTATGCTATTGTAAATACTATGCATTTTTATTTCAAATTCCCATTGTTCATTGCTAGTATATGAAAATGCAATTGATTTTTTTATATTAACCTGCATTCTCAACTTATTCTAGTAATTTTTTGGTAGATTCTTTGGGATTTTCTACATAGATAATCATGTCATATGTGAATAGTTACTGTTTTCCTTCTTGCTTTCCAATATGTATTCCTTTAATTTCTGTCTTGCTTTATTTACTACATTGTCTAGAACCTTCAGTGCAATGTTGAATATAAGCGGTGAGAACAAACATTTATGCTTTATTCCTGACTGAGGGGAAAAGCATTTAGTCTTTGACAAAGTGTAACATTAGTGACAATTTTTACTTAGATGCTCTTTATCAGATTTATCAGGTTGAAGAAGTTCTAGTTTGCAGATCATTCTTATCACAAATGGCTGTTGAATTTTGTCAAAAGATTTTTTGTGTCTGTTGGTTTTTCTGCATTATATGGTTTTTACCCTTTTTAAGTTAACATGGTGAGTTATATTGATTGATTTTGAAGCGCTAAACCAGCTTATCCCTAGGATAAACCCCACTTGGTCATGATAGATTCTTTTTTCATATATTGCTTGATGAATTTACAAGTTTTTCTTGCAATATCTTTGTCTAGTTTCGGTATCAAGGTAATGCTGTCTTACAGAATGAGTTGGGAAATATTATCTTATTTTCGGAAAGAATTTGTGTAGAGCTGCTATTATTTCTTCCTTCAATGTTTGTTAGAATTCACCAGTGAAGCCATCTGAGCCTGGAGATTTCTTTGTGGGAAGGTGTTTAACTAGCATTTCAATTTCCTTAATACAATTATGGCTATTCATGTTATCAATTTTTTTTCTCTTCAGTGAGCTTTTATAATTTGTGTCTTTCAAGGAATTGTCCATTTCATCCAAGTTATAAAATTTATTCTCACAAAGTTGTTCAAAAATCTACTCTTTTTATCCTCTTGATGTTTGTACAGTTTGTAGCAATGCCATTGATTCATTCCTGTTATTGGTAATTTGTGACTCACCTTTTTCCTTGGTCAGTTGGCTAGAGGTTTATCAATTTCTCTGATTTTTCAAAGTACCAACTTTTGGTTTCATTGATTTCCTCCATTATTTTTCTGTTTCCTGTTTCTTCATTTCTGCTCTTATATTTTTATTTCCTTTCCTTTTCATTACTTTGGGTTTAATTAACTCTTCTTATTTTGTATATGGGAGCTTATATCATTGATATGAGACTTATTTTTTCCAGTAGAACATTTAATGCTATAAATTTCCCTCTAACAAATTTAGACATGTTGTATTTTCATTTTCATTCAGTTGAAAATATTTTCTAATTTCTCTCACGATTTCCTTTTTGACCCATTGGTTGTTTAGAGGAAGTGTGTTTAATTTTCAAATATTTGGGGATTTTCCAGATAGCTTTCTGTCATTGATTTCTAGTTTAATTTTGTTACAATCAGGGAACATGCTGTATATGATTTCATTCTTCTTAAATTTATGGAGACTTTTTTTGTACCACCTGATGGATGTTCTGTGTGCACTTGTAGAGGATGTATATTCTAGTGTTATTGGATGGAGTATTCTCTAAATAATCAGGTCAAATTGGTTGATTAGTATGGTAAAGTCTTCTGTATCCTTATTGATCTTTCAGTCTATTTGTTATAGCAGTGACAGAGAAGAAAGTCAAAATCTTACATTATAATTGTGGATTTGTCTATTTTTCCTTTTCAGTTCTATCAGTTTTTACTTAATATATTTTGAGGTTCTGTTTTTAGGTGTATTCATATTTAGGATTGTTATATCTTCTCATGAATTGACCCCCTCTATCATTATAAAATACCTTACTTGAGACTTCCTTGACGGTCCGGTGGCTAAGACTCCACTCTTCCAGTGCAGGAGACATGGGTTTGATCCCTGATTGGGGAACTAAGATTCCCACGCCCTGCACAGTGCGGCCAAAAATAAATAAGTAAATATAAATAAAATAAAATGCCTTGCGTAATCCCTGATAATATTCTTTGTTCTGAAATCTATTTTGTTTGATACTATTGTAACCATTCTGGCGTTCTTATGATTAGTGTTTATTTTTATTTTTTTGTTGGCTGTGTTGGGTCTTTGTTGCTGCGTGTGGG